GGATCACAACCACCAATAAATGAAGTGGAAAGGATTTTCCTAGTGATGTGGAGAAATGCATCATCCTGGAGAGCTCTGCGACAGGTGGACGCAAGAGGAACTGATTGTCAGCTGTTTTAGGAGCGGGGTGATGAGGGGGGGCATGGAAAAGTATTTGCAAATGTTCCATGTTTCTCTGAGTTCCCATTCAGATGGAAGTTTGTGAAATGCTGCAAAAATATCACCGGGCAAAACACCCGGCTTGGAGAAGGGAATGTTTATAGGTCACCTTTCAGGCAAGCACTGCCCTGTTTCTTGGGTGCTGGGCTTGAGAGAAAAATCATCCCGCAGTGCAAAGAGAAGAGGATGGTAGGAATGGTTAAGTGGCTAGGCGATCAGAGTGGTGGTGGTGCGGCAGGGAAGGGACCTCTGGGGATGAAGTCCGGTGACTTCCTGCTCGCTCACAGACACTTTTCTAGTCTCAGAAAATTGCTATATCCCAGCAGGGCTGGGCCAGAGTTCTGCTAAGCCGGTCTACTCCAGAGGCCAGTGTGGCAGGGAGCAACATCTTGCCCAGGAGAGGGACAGTGCCAAATGCAGTTGTGATATGTATTGCAATATGTATTACGGAGTAGGAAACATTTGGCGGTAACAGAGATGTCTTTCTGTGCAGCGAGAATCCAGTTTGCTTCACAAATGCATGCTTCAGTTCTGGGGACACTGACTGTTGTCCCCTGGCTGCCCCTGGGACCGGTTGTCCCAGCAGAGCCCTGAGCCAAGCTGGGTGGGGAAAGTCTCTCCAAGACTTTTGGGTCATGGAGCTGAGGTCCCACCCAATGGTTCCCACAGAAGGAGACTCCAGAATTGTGCAGACCTGGCCATGAGTCTGACTGGAGGTTCGGAGATCATGGCATGGCTTTTAATGGCCAAGGCAACATTGGGAGCTGGTTAAAAAGATGCTGATTTCCTTGAGGGCCAGTCTGAAAAGCATTAGCGAGATAGAGAGACTCTTGCAGCCCGTATTTCTGGCTCAACCCTTTGGAGGTGTCACCAGGACCTGCCTAGGAAGGCTCAGACAATGGCTATTCGCCCTAAGCTCCAGGGTGGATCTGGGAGCGATGTGACCCAGAGTCAGCGCCTGGCTGGAGCATGGAGGGAAATAAGCAGAGGTGGCAGAAAATTAAACAGCAACCTGCTGGGTGAAAGCCAGAGGCCTGGCAGTGGGAAACACTTACAAGGTGGGAGTCAGTTAATCTGCTCCCAGCGATGCTGATCCACAGGCTGTAAAAGCAGCTGCACAATAAATGGGCAGCAGCAGGTGGAGTGGGTGAACCCAAGGCCACGGTAACGTGTCCAGTGAGCCATTAAACGCAGCCAGGGGCCTTTGTTATAGAGGCAGAGCTGCATCTTGCAGAGGTGTTTGTCTGGCTGAGCATCCAGATCACCCCCTCTGCAGATGGCTCTTGAAAGCTAGACCCAAGTGGACCGCAGGACAGCGTTTGGGGGGTGCTACAGAACAAAAGCTGAGCTGAAAGGACTCAGGGTAACAGATTCTCCTGGGGAGTGTTTGTGCCAAATTGAGACCCTTGCATTGTTTGTTCTCAGCTGGGATGGTTGTCAGGTGAGGGGAGCCGACAAGGTGAGACCAGCATTACCTGTATTACTGTAGCGCCTGGAAGGGCCTAGCTCCATTGCGCTAGGTGCTGTATGTACATTTAAAACAGAACGGCTTCTGTTCCCAGAGTTTGCATCTGAGGATTAGACAAGGGGGAAAAAAAAGTGATTGGCGGCAGCAGGGGAGCAGTGAAATCACTATGATCAGCATACAAGTGGTCCCGGCACATCAGCTACATACTCACTGCTAAGCTTTCTCTGGGTATCACTATGGAGCGGAAGCACGGCCAAGTGCTCTCTGGAGTTGTTATTGGGGTCTCTTCCCATGCAGCAGGGTGCCTGGGGCAAATGTGTGAAGCTGCTTCTGGAGGTAGAAATGTGCCTGTTTATTAATAATGCTGCAGGATCAGGTTCGTCAGTGCCGTAGCAATGGCAGCTGATGCCTTATACAGCTGGATAGACAGGCACCATTCTCTCCAGTGGAGAGAGTGGGACAGCTGAGCCCCAGTACAGGTGAATAACTGAGACAGGCAGGTGTCTGTCATCCCAGTCAGCAGCTAGGCTTGACTTTAAGGGTATTTTGGTACCCGAGGAGGCTGGCTGGCGCCTAGTCAAACCTCACAGGAGCTTAACTGTTAAAATGGTCTAGTAAGGGAGCCTTTCTCTGAGAGTGGACAGTGCCAGCTACTGCAGAAGCAGGTGCATGAGCAGTGGGCTTTGGATGCCTTTGCTGTTACAGACTCCATTGCATATATGTTGACTGCTATTCCCATTGCAATAAATGGGTGTGAGGTTGTAAAGTCATTGGAGCTACACTAGGGAATGACGGGAGGAGTGGGTAAGGAAGGCAGGAGTACATGGGAGTGGGTCTTGCCTGGGAAGGAAGATGGTACTGGATTGGGAGAAGGCTTAGGAGTGACCTGGAGGAATTTGGTTTCTGATGTTTTCAGGAGTGTCTGCGGAGCAGGACATCAGCATGGGGAGTTCAGTGCTCACCCCAGCCGTATGTTTCTTGAGCCTTAAAGCATGTTTGTGTTCAGCTGAAGTGGGGTGCTTTTCATATTGACCGTAGCCATCCCTGATGCAGAACCTCCTCAACAGCATGCAGTGTGGTACAGGAGAGGGGAATCTGCATGAACAAAGGTCCCAGCATCATCTGTGTCCCTGGGTAAGGGAGACAGTTGTTTTATTCATATAGTCACCATCACTGGGGCCTTGGTACTTTATAGACCAACAGCAAAATACAAACCTTGCCCAGGGGATCCTGCAGATCAACCTCTCCAGAAGCAGATGTTGGGGATGGACAGTGGCAATACGGGGCGAACATTGCAAGAACATGAGTTACCTCTGATGGCTCTTCTGGATTAGGTTGTTTCCTTTGCAAACCAATGTCCAACTTCCAGAGCAGAGGGAGAGAGACCACGATAGGAGCTTGTGGTGAAAGGCGGTTGAAAGGACTGAGTCTGGAGGAGGTGATGGAGGTTGTTTGGCCTGCAGGACAAGAGACTCACCAGGCTGTCAGGGATGACACAGTAAAAGGCGAGGAGATGAATGGCACTCTCGGGGGAGCAGAGCTGGTTTTGAGAGGGTACAAGAAAGCCAGTACTCGGATACAAGCCAAGGCAGGGTCATGTAGAGCCTTGAAAGGAAGGGTGAGAGGAGCCTAAACCAGACTCTCAGTTCAGGGCTCACAGTCACCTCTTATTTTTCCCAGTGAATTCCAGTCCCCCAGAAGCCTCCTTCACTTAGTCTTTTAGAGGCATCCAGGGCTCAAACTGAGCTGGAGCTCAGGGAAACTGTTTCCCTTGTTAAAATAAATGTATGAGTTTAATACATACCAGGAAAGGACAGGGAGTTCTCCTTGTTAAATATTTACTGGTCAAACCCTGCTGAGGACTCACCTGGAGGAATTCAGCCGTAGCTCGCTCTTTCTCTTACGAC